TGATCATATTAACACATTACCGATAACCATATAAACCAAAGTAAGCAAAATCAAACAAAATATAAAATGTCACCCATAATAATAATAACAGAAAAAATCAAAGAACTAGCAAAGGAATATTAACAAGCAGGATATAATGACAGAAACATATTAGGATAGTAAATCAAATATAAGTATGCATAACTTCATTTTTAAAGGCAAAGGCAGAGAATGTGCTTTGAAATAATTGAACCGAGCTTCAAACAAAAATAAGACAAAATTAATAAGAAAAATTAAACAAAAGATGTAGATAGAATGGCAGCAACCTTAATTTTAGACAAAGTAGAATTTGAGGTTAAAAAAAATTAGAGATAGCAATTTCTTTCTTTCTTGTGAGGCATAAATCTCTTCAGTCACAAACTTCTTTCCTCATAAGTCTCTAAGCTTTTCACTAATCATATCTAATACTGTAGAACGGTCTGAAGTTGTGTTAGCTTCTTCATCCTCTGAAATACTGCCTCCCACATTTGTAAACTGCCACCAAGACAGAGTGAGCAGGATATATGGCTTTCTTTGCTTCACTTTAAATTTCTGCTGAATTCTATTTGTTTTTTTTAAGAAGATCAGATAAATATACATTTGTTGTTTGCTTCCTATTTTACATATCTATTATCTTCTCTCATATTATATCTCGTTTTCATAGGAAATGTATGTTTGGTTAAGAATTTCCCTACGTTGTCGTCTCTCATTAGAGTCATAATCAGTTCTATTCAATGTTTAAAATTGCTAGTTTTCAAAGTTTCCTTGTAGTCTTTATTCTTTTCTCATTTCTTCAAACTATGTTTTTACATTAACTAATCCGTTTTTAATTTTGTCTGTTACTGCTTTTCTATCCCTTTTAATTTTCTTTTTTCTTTTCTTGCCTAGTAAGATAAACCAAAAGTTGATTTATACAAAATGTTTACTAGTCCCTGTGCAAAATCTGATTTTCAGATGTATTTTTCTTCTGGGTCTTTGAGCAAATGAACCTTTTATGAAGCAGAATATTTCAAATGCCCAGCTCATCATTTATTTTCTCTTTCCATTACTCTCTGAGTCATCTTCAACTGAAGAGAGGCAGAGCCTGTGGTTTGTTTTAGTTTGGTTTATTTGTCCCCAGCATGATGTTAGTAGAATCAGACTCTTTTTTCTTAAGCTGAGGGGCAATGTGACATGGTCAACTTTTATACAGATTTCCAGTCTCCAGCAAGACACTTTTATTTCACGTGTGTTTACTGAACAGAAGCTGAATTGATTATCTTATCCTCTCATTGCTTGATACTCAGTATAAATTCTTTCATTTCTGCATGGCTTGAGGGACCATGAAGCTCTTATTTTCAGATGTAGAAAACAGACTCCTTGGAGGATAATGTTTCGACCACGATCCTGTCTCAACTCCTGCCTGTGCTTAATCTCATGTACGAACATGCAATGCAACCTCCTTTTAGCCTGGGAATAGGAGGTACTCATAGCACTGCAGGGGAGCGGGGAGATACTGGCGGAGGTCAGACAGATGATGGATTGGAGCACCTGAGGAGAAAAGGGGTGCCCGTCTGCCCCTGGGTCAACTGCTGAGGTCTGGGAATGAATGAGTCTTTGATCATTTCTCAATTCAACGTATTCTCGTTAAGCAGGAGAATTTCTTTAAAAGCTGCTCAGTTATGATTTGGAAACCTTAATTACTAGGACAGTTGTAGTTCTGCATGTTTTTGTAGGTTTGGATTTATCTGTCCGTCAGAAGACTCTATCCGTCCCCTTGGCTCCTCTGTTTCCTGAGGATGAATTCACGCTTTCCTGGAGGAACCGCAGACACCGCGTGGAAGAATGATGCAAGATCCTACCACAGTCCTGAAGAGCTACTAGGGACTGACACAACAAAGTCCCAACGTGACGCATCTTGCATGAAGAGGCCCCCAGAGCCCAGGCACCTGCTGTTCTAGCCTGCCACTCCCCCCTCCTCTGCAAGTTAGCCATGCTCAGTTCTTGTAATTACCTGATCACACCGTGCTTCTCATATTCGTGTGTATTTGAACCTTCCATTCCCTTCGCTGGGAATTCCATGCTCCTTTCTGTCCTGAAGCAGCATCACGCCAAAGGATTTACCTGATTATTCTCTCTCCCAAGGCTCTCCTCAGAGGCTTGCAGAGAGCACACTCTACTGCATTGCTGTACACTCTACTGCATCACTAACTCGCAGGTTCCTCACTAGACTGTGTTTGTGTCTGCCCCGCCTTCCAGTTTGTATGTCGAAGCCCTGACCCTCGAGGTGATGCTATTAGGAAGTGGGCCCTCTGGGAGGTGATTGGGTCTAGATGAGACCATGAGTGTGGAGCCCCCACAGTGCAATTAGTGCCTTCACAAAAGAGGGCCCAGAGAGCCGCCCTGTACCTTCCCTTGTAAGAGGACACAGGAAGGAGGCAGCCATCCTCAAGCCAAGAAGAAGCCCTGATCAGATTCCAACCAGCTGGCACCTGGGTCTCCTATTTCCAGCCTCCAGAAGTGTAAGAAATAAGTGGCTGTTGTTTAAGCCCCGGTCTGTGTTTTCATTTATCATGGGAGCCTGAGGTGACCAAAGCAAGAGCCTTTCATATCCCCAGCTCCTGGTACCATGCCTGTAGAAAGGGCCCAAAGACAGCTTGTCTGATGAATGAGGGAAGGAATATGAACATTGGCCGGGCTCGGTGGCTCAGCCTGTAATCCTGCGCTTTGGGAGGCCGAGGTGAGTGGATGGCCTGAGCCCGCGGGTTCGAGACCCGCCTGGGCAACTTGGCGAGATCTCATCTCCACAATAAATCAAAAATCAGCCAGGCGTGGTAGCGCGCACCTGTAGTTCCAGCTACTTGGAAGGCTGAGGCGGAAGGATCGCTGGCCACTGCACTCCAGTCTGGGCGACAGAGTGAGACTCCAACTCAAAAAAAAAACCCAAAAAACAAGAAACTCCCATCTCAAAACAAAAGCATTTGATTATCATTAAATTTCCTTTGGGGTCACATACATTTCTTCCCAAAAGGCAAGTAAAATAGTGTTACAGTCATGTCTAATCCAGGGGAGAAAAAAAGCAGAGAAGAGGAAAATCAAAGATTTGACAAACAGTAGACTAGGCTAGAATGAAAAGTTTTTCTATCATGTTTGTAATAAATGTTATTTTATTGTCCTTTAAAATAAATTAGTCAAAAGATAAAATTAATGCAAATATGTTTCTAATAAAGTATTAAATATATGCCACAAAATAGTAAGTAAACAAAGTTCGTATGATAGAAAATTTATTAGAAGTGGCCATAAGTTTCTCCAACTAAACAGATATTTAGCATGTTTATAGTAAGAGTTCCCTAAGAGGAAGGTGAAAGCATGCTGGAAAATGTCTATATGACACTCAAGGATAAGCTGGGAGGAGGAAAGTTTACCCAAAGATTTTGTAGAAATGAGCAAAATGATTTCACTATTTTTTAAACTAAATCTGCTCATTGTTTTGTAACAGTTGTTGCCAGCACAGTAAGAAATTAAAATATTATTTTTTCATATACCAACAGAGTCACTCAAAGAGAAAGCACGCACATATAATACATGCCATCTAATCATCTTTTATCATCATTAAATTAAATAGGCATCGGGCTCGGTGGCTCAGCCTGTAATCCCGCGCCTTTGGGAGGCTGAGGTGAGTGGATGGCCTGAGCCCGCGGGTTCGAGACCCGCCTGGGCAGCGAGACCTCATCTCTACAATAAATCAAAAAATCAGCCGGGCGTGGTAGCGCATGCCTGTAATTCCGGCTACTGGGAAGGCTGAGGTGGAAGGAATCGCCGGAGCCCAGCAGGTCGAGGCTGCGGTGGCCGGGAGCGGCCACTGCACTCCAGTCTGGGCGACAGAGTGAGACTCCGACTCAAAAAAAAAAATTAAATATGAAGAATGATCATCTTAGTGTAAAATGTTTATAAATGTATACATGTACAATGCTCATTCAGATTTCAACTAATCACCAATGCATAGTTTCAAGGACAGAAGGTAAGATGCAGACAAGAATCATTAAGGCCTCTGAGAAACACAAATAATTTCGTTGCTCTTCCTGGCTTATTACTACACAAGATTCATGGCAAATTGGAACAAATATGTAGGCAAATGGAGAAGAAAATAAATATATCTCCTAAACCAGCACTGCATTATCCACAGGAACATTTTCTTATTGCTAAATTTTAGAGACACATATTGAGACAAGCTAGATAGGTAGGAAATTATAAGAAGATAATGGAATTCTGAAGTCATAAAATCTTCCATAATGGAAGGTGTTGCAAGACAATTTTGGCACGGGCAGAATCTGCTTTTATAAAACAATCACATGTTAAGGTGATTTTAAAAATTAATTTAAAAATTCATAAGATGATTTTCTTCTCCTGTTGCTATCTAGGTTTATTATACAATCTTTCATCCAGAGATTGTTTCATGGGTGTCCATTCCAGGACAAACGTTCTTTCAGGTCACTGGACTCCAAAGATAGAACAAAATCCATCTTCCAAAGAGGGCATTTTATTTTATTTTATTCATTTTATTCCATCTCTACTTCACCCCCAACTAAAGGCAAAATTCACCAAGCTCATGCATGTACCCGTGTCCTACAGACCAGCGAACTGCACTGCACGCACGTTACCACAGGCAGGCAACATTTTTGGAAGACTTGACTGATCTGTGAGCGCCCCTGTTAAGAGCTATCAGCAGAAAACATGATCCAATCCTAAAAACAAAGCACCACAAGCACAATTCTCTGCAAATAAAGCTATCTCTTTATTTTAATAGATCCTATATTCAAAAAAAAATAGCGGCTATATTACCCAAGACTCAATTTTAAAAATGTATGCCCATGGAAAGAAATTATATTTTACGAAGATAATTATTTCATGAAAATGACAAACGTGGTGTTTGTACCTAAAACTAACATACGATAAAAGCCAAAGACACAAAAGCATATTGTTCACGTTATTTGGGCACCAACCTGGTATAGGCTGAGGCGCTAACACCACTGTGGGAAGAGGTCTGGAGGCAGGAGCTGGCCTGGACAGAGACACGGCTACTTGATTTGCCAGCAAAGGGGGCTTTTCACGCCCGTGGAACAATCTTGACTCTTCAGGTTGTACCCACGTTGAGTCCAGAGCAAAGGAATTGTTAAAAAAGATCTGTCCAAAATAGAGCAAGCACAACACTTACGATAAGGCACACCACAAAAGCAACGCATGACTATGAAAGTGGGTGTGTGGTCTTACACTCATTGAACACTGACCACTTTATTATGGGGGACTCTGTAAAAACATCACCGTAAAACTTAAATAAAGGCCCACAGAGCTCTGATATGGGCCATCTTTAAGGTCTCTTAGGCTGGTCTTCAACGACTGACTTGGTCACTTACGCCCAGCAGGCAGTTTACAGACTGAGGAATCGCCTCCAATGGGTTCGTTCGCATGCTGTAGAAAGTCAATGTGTCCCTTTTTCTTGAGTTTTTGTGTCAGCAGTATGCAACTGGTAAATTCGAATTCAAACCCCAAACAATCCGAAAAATGAAAACCCAAAGCATTCATAGCAAGACAAGCTCACTTTTAAAATTTAAACTTACATCCTAGAATGCTTAAGGCTAGCTTTAAATCAACGGCTACAGATTTGAAAATCAAAAATGAAAGGCTAGATTCCGATTCAGAAATTGAAAATTGAACACTGTTCCGTGGAATGCGAGGATTTTATGCTAAAACAAAATGTCCTCATCTGCTGATGTTTTTGAGCATATCAATCTAATTCTGAAAGGATTTAGCTCTACACCTAGAGGGCCAATTTATTGCAATTAGAAAATACACAGTACTTTTTGTTTCTACGGCAATACCCAACCGCTTCACAAAGAAAAGTCCCCTTGTCCAACTAAATGACTTGCATTTTTACCTTGCAGTTAGGTATCCTTTTGTCTATCCAACTTTTCCCCACAGGAGCCAGGAGAGCAGAAGGGCAGACACGTGGGAAGACGGGCACCAACTCCACAAGGGAAGAAGACGGCAGTCCTAGGGGCGGAGCATGGCCCCCAAACAGCCACTGCAACCAAGCGCGAGAGGGAGGTGCTTGTTAGCTTGGCTCAGTCAACTTTGCTTTGCGCAGAAACTCTACCCTGGTGCTCTGAAAGGGAAATTCTTTAGGGGTCTGTGTGTATGGGGGAAAATGCCTCTCTTTCCAGTCAAGAGAAGTGACAAGCATTTCCAAACCCAAGGGAAATCTGAGTGTTTTCATAGCCGAGTCATCACAAAGCATCTCCAACACCGCGTTCCTCAACACTGACAAAGCGCTAAGCGGGAAGCCACCAGCCCGCGGCAGGAAGTGGGCTTCGGCCCCGAGATCACGCGAGACCCCCACGAAAAGAGCAAAGCAGGGCATCTCCTGCGTGATCTGTGAGCGGCTCTACTGGGACAGCAAGCGTGGAGTGGCAGCTCGTCGTGCCCCTCTCGGCATAACCTCTTGCACTAATCACAGCGGCCCTTTAAAAAGCAACTCACGCTGTAAACGGCAACGAGCCTGCCCAGACGAAATTCCGGGAAGCTGGGAGGCAACGCCCCCCGGGCCCAGCCTCGCAACGCATCCCACGGCGGAGAGCACCTGCGGACCGCGTCACGGAGGCCCCGGGACACGGAGCGAAGCGGCCAGCAGGGGCAGAGGCGCCCGGTTCGGGACGCGGCCTCTCGCAGGAAGGGCTCAGCCCTCCCGGGGGCCCTCAGGAAGGAGATGCCTCGGCCCCCAGCGGGCGGCACTGCGGCGCCCCCTGTCGCACCACCACGGGACGCGCTTCGCGTCCCTCCGCCGCGAAAGGGCTCCTGCGCCAACGGCAGGGGCTGCGCAGCCCGGAAGCACCCGGCCGATTAGGCCACAACTTCAAAGCGCCCT